GAAGGGCCATACCTCGGGGGGGGCCGGCCTCCTGCCTGTCATTGCTCCTTGGGGTGCCCTGGCCCCATCCCACCTCTGTGGGGCTTGCTCCCCCTGAGCCTGCGCTGGGGCTGCCTCGCTGCCCTTCCCAAGGGGAGCTGTCTGGAGGAAGGCTGATTGGCAGTGCTCAATTGCCGCTGCGGTTAATGGCTGTATGAGGAGAAAATACTCCTCAAAATAAGCCGTTTGGGTGGAGAAAATGAGGAGGCTTCATGGGGCTGTCACTTCCCAACCTGCCAGGACATGCAGGGTAACGAGGGCTTGCTGTGCTCACAGGGCTGTGGTGGCAGAGGGCTTCCATGCCACAGCACTCCAGCTTCCCAGAGGAACCATGTGAAGGAGATGGGTCCCTGACTCCAGCATGTCTCCTGGTCTTCACCTGGAGCTGGTCCGTGAGCGCTGTGGTGGTGGTGCAGCCCCGGATCACCAGCGCACACAGGAACCCCCGCAGTGCTGCACTCATGAAAGCAAAAGGCCCAGGCCTGGGATGCATTCTGTGCCATTGGGGGTCCCAAGTATGTCCTGTGCCTAATCCTGAAGTGTCCAGGCACGAGTCCCCTGATCAGGGTCCCCATGTACCAGCATGCTTGGGATGCTGTAATCCCAGACTGGCTTGTGTTGGAAGGGAGCTTAAAGCTCCTCCAACTCCAACCCCTGCCACGGGCAGGGACACCTTCCACTAGAGCAGGTTGCTCCAAGCCCCTGTGTCCAACCTGTCCTTGAACACTGCCGGGGATGGGGCAGTAATCTCAGCAGATAAATGAGCTTTCTGCACTCTGCCACAGCTGTTAAATCAGAATTTGTGAATGGCTTTATTTGATCCAAAACTTCGGGGTTTTGTTATGAATAAGCACTTGGCTTCAGCAGAGCTTCCTTGGCTTTCCTTCTGACGTACAGCTCAGCACATGGGCTGCTGGATCATGCCATTGTCCTGAGTCAGTCAGCCTGTTACGTATTCATTACTCATACGTGTATCGAGGCTGCAGCAGTGTCGTGTTTGATCTCCACACGGAGCAGCAGCTTTTGTTGGTTTATTTAGCAAATCCCTCAAGTTCTCCAGCAGTGAAGTGGGAGCGTCGGAGCGGCCATCGCTGTGTTTGCTCCTCCCAGGAGCACGTTGAAAACTCCTGGTTGTTTAGAGCAGACCCTGAGCTCTCGCAGGGGCAGCCTCTGCGCGGGGCTGCAGAGCTCTGTGTGTCCAGGACATGTGCCCATCCACGCGCGGGCCCAGGGCTGAGCAGGGGAGGAGGTCTGACACTGCGGGACGTGGCGTACCCGTTCTTTCAAAGCAGTCTGGTGTTCTGCCGTTAGCACCAACCTTCTGCTCCCAGGGGAGAGAACCCCTGATCTTTGTCCCCAGGTCATCTCAGTGAGCAGCCACGTCCCTGTCCCAGATCCCCATCCCGTCCCTCTGCCCAGGAAGGACAGCACCTTCTGTGGCACAGGCAGAAGCCTTCACTGGGAGGTGGTTTGGCATCGTGTTCTTGTGCTGCTTCCTTCCTCCAAGTGTGACAATCCCAAGGAATAAAACCTGCCTGAGGGCTTCCTGCTCCTCAACAGGGAAATGCACCTTTTCCTGGTTGGACCAAATATTCCGAAGCTGCAACCTGTCTCTAAAGGGTCAGCTTTCTGCAAAAACCATGGGAGCACCATTCTGCCCATGGACCTCGCTGAGGTTTTGGCAGGTGCCAGGTAATAAGTTGCGAGTCTGTTGTGTGCTCTTGAAAACCTTACCGTCCATCAGAGGGCAAATGAATAGATTCTTCTGCAAGATCAAGTATAAATTTATGCTCTGTCCGCTATAGGTAATAGAGCCTTTCTGGGAGACATCCCAGATTCCTAGGAAGGGGATGGTTCGAGTGCATGAAACCTGATTGCAGTCCTCCTCTGGAATATAGGAGTTAGGGCATTTGTGGTGTATTGGGTCAGCTCTTTAGGTCTCAGTTGTATGGTGATATGCAGATCCTTCTGGATGCTGAGTCTGGACAGATCACTGTTGCTTTGGTTCCATGCCCACAGCAGAGCTGCTGCTGTGGTTTCAGCAGCACTGGGAATGTGATCATCTTCCTGTGTTTGCTGTTGTGTTCTTGGCTTACTGTGCTCTGCATTTGTAAGTGAGGGGTTTTTAAAGGTCTTTGATCTTTTGCTTCATAGCAGTAATCCTGTTTGTCAGGAACACGGATTTGAGCCAGTGTGTCCTGTGGCTGGTTTGGCAGGGACGTGTGTTAGGGCTGGTCAGGCTTTTGAACTGGCTCAAACTGATTTAGATGAGATATTAGCAAGAAGTTCTTTGCCTGAGGGCTCTGCCTAAGAGCTCATCTCCATCTCCCCTTGGGCAAGTTAAGACCGTTTCCCCTTGTCCTGTCCCTCATCCCTTGTCCAAAGCTCCTCTCCAGGTTTCTTGTCAGCTCCTTTAGGCACTGAACACTGTTCTAAGGTCTCCCCTGATCCGGGCACTGCAGCAGCAGTAAATGTCTTGAGCCATCACAGGTACTTGGAACAGCTTCTGTGCAGTTTGCTCTCAAGGGGAGAATAATCCTCTTTCGTAGGTAGCATTAGAAAAGCGGAGGCAGATGTTCTTCACGTGGCGTGTTCTGCAGGGCTGCGTGGCAGATTAACCTGCAGTAACCCACCCTGAATGGGGCTTAGTCTTCGAGGCAGAGCCTAAAGACTCATTATCATCACTGAGCTCCATATTGTGGCTGTCTTGGAGAAAATTCCTGCTCTCGCTTTGTGTTTGTTCCCTTGACAAAGCTTCTTCCGAAGCTGCGGGTGCTGCTGGTGCTGCCGGCCGGGAGCCGGGATGTTCCTGGCTGCGCACAGGGCACAGCCGGAGCTGAGCCTGGCCGCTGCTGCCGGCCCCGCGCTCCGTAACCTCTCCCTCTCTCGCTTTCTTCAAGGTAACAGAAGACAAGAGCACAGCTGTTCTCCAGAGGGCCACCAGGCTGTGAGGATCCAGGAGGGGCCGGAGGGGCCGTGCGCGCGGCGGGAGGACACGGCGCATTCCCTGTCAGACGTGCTGCTTTCCACCGGGGACGGGGGACGGGCACCGGCATGCGCTGGCAGGAGGCTCTTCTGGTGCGAGGCTGGCGGGGGGGGCAAAAGGATGTCTGACCCTAGCATGAGGATTTGACCAGTCGCACGGCAGTGAACTGGGAGAACAGCAAAACCCGCAACCTGGAATGTATTTATTACTTCAAAGTTAGCTATTCTTGATAAAACCCCTCAGATTATTGCTGCTGCTGCTTATTTTACTTACAGATTTCACACACTTGTTCATTTTAAAGCTACCAAACTTTTCCTCAATTCTGTACTCCAAGAAATGTAATTGGAGCAGGACATGCAATAGAATGAAATCATTGTAGTGTCTTAAGTACCATGGACTCACTTGTGTGTCTATTAAACCTTGGAAGATGTGCAACACAGAACTATGTGGCTGTCATTGCGTATGTTAAAGCTTCTTCATGTCATTCACTGCAGAGTGGAGGGAACGGGTTTTGTCAGGTACGTGAACAAGGTGTCTCCAGGTATCTTGGATGGCATGTCCCAGTGTGTGCTTTCAGTCACCTGGAACCACAGGCAGCGTGGCCTCAGCTTGCTCTGATGCCTCTGACTGGAGAGTGAATTGATGCTCTGAATTCACTTGTGTTCACACCAGGTCAATGAGTGTCATTTAAGGCCCCTTGAACACGTGTTGTTGGTTAGGAAGGATTTTCATCCTTACACATGACTGGAATCATAGAATAGTTAGGGTTGAAAAGG